TTATCCTACAGAAATACGTGTAGTAGCGACTCCGCTTTCTTATTCCTCCGTGATTTCGAGCCACATTCAGAACACTGATATTGCTTACTCTCCTATTTTCCAGTCGCCAAAATTGTCTTTCTCTTCTTTTGTACTTATAATATCGCCACCATATATAAGTAACACTTACTAATAAGAGAAATGCCACGATAACAACAGTTGTTATCGTGTCCTTGTTAGCCATGGTTGTGATCCTATATTAAAAATATTTGTAAATATTACCTATATTTAAGCACTTAAATAATTATACGGGATGAGTCTTAAATAAGTGCAAATATTTGCAAAGGACTGGCAGATCTCGGTAGCCGTGCAATCACTGAAGTAAATGAGTAGCTTGTGGCAACCCTGTTGTTTGCTATATTTCGAGCCACATTCAGAACACTGATATTGCTTACTCTCCTATTTTCCAGTCGCCAAAATTGTCTTTCTCTTCTTTTGTACTTATAATATTGCCACCATATATAAGTAACACTTATTAATAAGAGAAATGCCACGATGACAACAGTTGTTATCGTGTCCTTGTTAGCCATGGTTGTGATCCTATATTAAAAATATTTGTAAATATTACCTATATTTAAGCACTTAAATAATTATACGGGATGAGTCTTAAATAAGTGCAAATATTTGCAAAGGACTGGCAGATCTCGGTAGCCGTGCAATCACTGAAGTAAATGTGTAGCTTGTGGCAACCCTGTTCTTTGCTATATTTCGAGCCACATTAGTAACACTGATATTGCTTACTCTCCTATTTTCAAATCGCCAAAATTCTCTTTTTCTTCTTTTGTACTTATAATATTGCCACCATATATAAGTAACACTTATTAATAATAGAAATGCAACGATGACTACAGTTGCTATCGTGTCCTTGTTAGCCATTAGGTTGTGATCATATATTAAAAATATTTGTAAATATTACCTATATTTAAGCACTTAAATAATTATACGGGATGAGTCTTAAATAAGTGCAAATATTTTCAAAGGACTGGCAGATCTCGGTAGCCGTGCAATTACTGAAGTAAATAAGTAGCTTGTGGCAACCCTGTTGTTTGCTATATTTCGAGCCACATTCAGAACACTGATATTGCTTACTCTCCTATTTTCAAATCGCCAAAATTCTCTTTTTCTTCTTTTGTACTTATAATATTGCCACCATATATAAATAACACTTATTAATCATAGAAATGCAACGATGACTACAGTTGCTATCGTGTCCTTGTTAGCCATTAGGTTGTGATCCTATATTAAAAATATTTGTAAATATTACCTATATTTAAGCACTTAAATAATTATACGGGATGAGTCTTAAATAAGTGCAAATATTTTCAAAGGGCTGGTAGATCTCGGTAGCCGTGCAATCACTGAAGTAAATGAGTAGCTTGTGGTAACCCTGTTGTTTGCTATATTTCGAGCCACATTCAGAACACTGATATTGCTTACTCTCCTATTTTCAAATCGCCAAAATTCTCTTTCTCATCTTTTGTACTTATAATATTGCCACCATATATAAGTAACTCTTATTAATAATAGAAATGCAACGATGACTACAGTTGCTATCGTGTCCTTGTTAGCCATTAGGTTGTGATCCTATATTAAAAATATTTGTAAATATTACCTATATTTAAGCACTTAAATAATTATACGGGATGAGTCTTAAATAAGTGCAAATATTTGCAAAGGACTGGCAGATCTCGGTAGCCGTGCAATCACTGAAGTAAATGAGTAGCTTGTGGCAACCCTGTTGTTTGCTATATTTCGAGCCACATTCAGAACACTGATATTGCTTACTCTCCTATTTTCAAATCGCCAAAATTCTCTTTCTCTTCTTTTGTACTTATAATGTTGCCACCATATATACGTAACACTTATTAATAATAGAAATGCAACGATGACTACAGTTGCTATCGTGTCCTTGTTAGCCATTAGGTATCCTATATTAAAAATATTTGTAAATATTACCTATATTTAAGCACTTAAATAATTATACGGGATGAGTCTTAAATAAGTGCAAATATTTGCAAAGGACTGGCAGATCTCGGTAGCCGTGCAATCACTGAAGTAAATGTGTAGCTTGTGGCAACCCTGTTGTTTGCTATATTTCGAGCCACATTCAGAACACTGATATTGCTTACTCTCCTATTTTCAAATCGCCAAAATTCTCTTTTTCTTCTTTTGTACTTATAATATTGCCACCATATATAAGTAACACTTATTAATCATAGAAATGCAACGATGACTACAGTTGCTATCGTGTCCTTGTTAGCCATTAGGTTGTGATCCTATATTAAAAATATTTGTAAATATTACCTATATTTAAGCACTTAAATAATTATACGGGATGAGTCTTAAATAAGTGCAAATATTTGCAAAGGACTGGCAGATCTCGGTAGCCGTGCAATCACTGAAGTAAATGAGTAGCTTGTGGCAACCCTGTTGTTTGCTATATTTCGAGCCACATTCAGAACACTGATATTGCTTACTCTCCTCCCCGCCGAATAGCGGGCATTTTCAAGTTGCCAACGAACACGTCAATTTACATATCAAGGGGGAATACTTAACTTCACAAATGAATGAAATGTATTTTATGTACATTAAAATAATGCATATCCGTGGAAAATTATGATAATGATAGTGAAATACTGGAAGGCTTACCACTATTACTTACTGGTTTTGATTGTTGGTGTGGTGGAATGGGCTTTGGCTTGAATACATTTATAGGTGGTCCAAAGACTTCTCTATTTGTTGGATATCTTCTTGGAGGCATTTCTCTTGGAGTAATGTTAATTGGTTGACAAGGCCAAGGTTGTTTTTGGTTAAAATTTGTATTAGGTACATTTTGATTGAATTGATTGTATTGATTTGGGTGATTAAATTATTGATTTTGATTATTAAATTGTTGTCTATTATTATTTTGATAGTTAGAATTGTTGTGTGGAAAATTTGTTGCGTTAGAAAAATTATTTTGATTTTGGAAATTTTGTTGTGCTGGCTTTTGATGGAAATTTTGTGTTTTGTACACCTTGTTTTGTTCGTTAGAACTGCCATAGAGCATTTCAAAATTTTCAAATTCATTTACGCACGCCATTGCATCTTCTAAGGATGTCGGTTTTTTAATGTAAAGATTGTTTCTTAAAGTTCCGCTGCAACCTGCAATAAATGTATTTAACGCGGTCTTATCATAGTGGCTTATCTGACACGTTTTCTCTAGAGGCGCTAGGCACGTATCGTTACTGATTCTTTGAATTACGTTACTTTTTAAGAGTTGTAATCTGCTGCCAAAACTTAAGAGATGTTCGTTTTTAAACGGTCGCGTTCTCGTCAATTCTTGGATTAAGCAATCTAAATCACGTCTATCTGAGAAACATTGTATTAAAGCGGCTTTTAATTTTGACCAATTGTCTAATTCCAATCTGTTTCCTATCATTATTTCGGCTTTTCCCACTAATTTGGACTGTACGCACTCAAAAACATGCTGTTTAAAATCCTCGTCTGGTACGGTAGCATATTTTAGTAAAAGTGATTCGCATTTAAATATAAAAGTATTTAATGTATTACTGTTTCCGTCAAAGGGCTTAATATTTTGTACTTTTGACTTAAAAATATCCCAATTTACAGTTCGCATATTTTCATTTTCTGAAGCACTTGTTCTCGCATTCATTTTATTTATTTCTGTATTAAGTTTTACTGTTAAATTTGATAGTCTGTCCGCTAACTCGTCTACACTCATGAACGTGCTAGTTTTTCATTTACGATCTATGAGCGTAAATTTTATTTTATTTTTATATTTATTTTTTATTATTTTTACTTAATAAAAATGTAATACTAGGTAACTTTTTCTTTGTTACTTTACTTCTAAGAATTTTTTACTTTTTGGTTTTTGTTTTTCTTAATCTAATGTCTTCGATAGACTGCTCCTATAACTATCCCTACTGATTTCCTTAAACAGAGGTATACCAAAAGGGGCAAAAAGGAAGGCACTTACTTCTTTTTGAAGTCTTTCCTGTCCTTTTCCTGGACTCCGCTCTCTGCTGTCTTCGTCGGGGTGGTTTGCGACAACTTTCTTTGCTCGTTCAGGTTTAGACAGCTAATCCGGATCGATTGCACTATCCTGTCCTTCACTTCACAAAGTTTTTGTTCGAATTTCGCGTTAAAGGGTTGAAACCGCACTTCGCGATTTACCACTGCATGTGACACTCGAAAGGGAATACACGAAATCCTACCGACTGCGCCAGTTTTGGGTTCTCAATTAACAGAGTTGTTTTTAAAAAACGATTTTATTGTTACAAACGTTCTCGACAGAGTACAGAGAGTGAAAAGTCTGCTTCGAACCGTGCAGTTCGCTTTTATATGTGACATAATGTAAAATAGGCATTCAGTATTTAATTACAATGAAATAACACTTATTTATACATATAACTTGCAGTTCGTTTTTTATATGTGACATAATGTAAAATAGGCATTCAGTATTTAATTACAATGAAATAACACTTATTTATATATATATATAACTTGGTACTATGTTTATAGAAATTTTATTGCCTAGATTATATATATATATATATATATAATAAATATAAAAAACATAAATTTGTCTGGGAGAACTAAGTAAACGATTACGAACCCTCATAACAATAAGGAATATTTATGGTGCACAAACAGATGCTTTCAATTAAAAAAACCGTTAAAATATCGTGAAACACTACTGAATATTTATGATACACAAACAGTTGATGACTAATATAAGCTACTAAAGGAATGCATCGTTCACCATGAGAGAACGGGATTTAAGGGTAGGGGGATAGTGGTCAAGGGATTTTGCAACCAAAGAATGAGGGGGATTTTGTACAAGAAATTTAAAACATTACGAGGTAGCTTGAAACGTGATTGAAAAAATTATCCATCCTATTTTTTATTAATTTTGTTGTTTGTTTTACAACTCAATTTGTTATACAAATTGATTACAAAAATAGCATTTCTCTTGTGCACTGGTTGGTCCATCAAAATGGGTTCTCCATTCCGGACGATTGTAATGTACGAAACATGGTAATTTAATCTGCAGATAAAAGTGATCTTTATAATCCATTGGTAATTTCCCCCATATATTTAGAAGTTCAATAGGATTTGCATTCTTTATTAAATACTCCAATGGTAGCAATTTCAGTTCTTCTGTGGTAAAATCTGTAAGTTGTTTTTTACCATTAATATGTGCTAACAAAATATTTGCACTCGCACAACTCATTTTAAAATACTGGTGATCTTTTTGAATTATGGTGGATTTTTGTTTGTCGGAGATTGTAAGTACTGAAACCACCAAACTTCTTTGATGCTTTTGTAGGTAGTGAATAAAAGGTTCAGTGATGGTGAATTTTCTTTGTTTTATGTCCTTATGCAAGCGAGGGGGAAGGGGGATAGCAAACGGTGGGAGGATATTGTATATTTCGGGTTGGGATCGTGGGTGGGGGGATTTTGAAACCAGAGAATGAGGGGTGTATCTATATCTTGTGCGCCAGAATCGGGTGTATCTGTATCTTGTGCGCCAGAACCGGCCTATTCTCCCTACTAATAGCAAACAAATTTTAAGGTTTTATGTCTCGGGGGTGCCGCTCAAGGTAGTGTGGAAACAAGTACAGTTAACCCCGGATATATTGAACACGTACATTATATCAAACTTTAATTTTGTTTTCGTAAAATTCGATACTTTGGGTAGTCACACGAAAAAAACCCATACAACGATTTTTATAGAGTTTTTGGTTTGTCTTCTTTAATTCTGGTCTCTACATATTTTGCACTAAAGTTCATAGAAATCGCGTTATTGACAAATAATGAAAAATAAACAGAATTTTAGCCAATTTTTCCAAGATGGCGGCCAAATCCGGGCTTTACGGGAGTGCAAATTTAATACGTACTTCTCGACACCAAACTAAACAAAATAAAACTTATTCCAGTTTGTCCGGATTTAATAATAATAATAATAATAATCGTCTTTATTGAAGAAAAAAAGATGTGTAACATTACATATATTATTACACATCATGCAACAAGGGTGGCGAAATTTAACAAAAAAAGTTATTCTTACATTTAACCACCCATAGCTGCCAGAAGATATTTGTTGAAAAATACGTTTAAAAGACAAAAAAATATGTTCTATAAACTAACAAATTAAAAAATATACATAGTTAATTCTTATACACATGGCATAATAAATAATTTTAAAAAATAAACAAAAAATACAAAACCATTATCATTCCTGTGAAGATAAAAGAAACATTTTATATTTTTTTCGCAATTGGCCAAAATTACATTGTTTAAAATCATTATCAAGGGAATTGTAACTAGTGACGGCCATATAGGTAAAACTTCTTTGAAAAAGGACGGATCTATGTTGAGGCATGGTCAGTTGATTATGGTGTCTTATATTACAATTATGCATGACATTACGAGGAATAAGTTTTTCACTCAGATATATAGGGGTGGATGTGCTACGAACTTTAAACAGAAACATGACGAAATGCAGCCTGACAGTGTTTGAAATCTTAAGCCACTTTAATTCATTAATACGAGCAGAGATATGATCGTACTTCCTCAGACCAAAAATGAAGCGACAGCAAACGTTTTGTACATACTGTAATCTGTTTTTAGAAACCAGATCCAAACATGGATAAAAAACAATATTAGCATAGTTGAAAACAGACAGTACCAGGGATTCACACAGTTTTTTTCGCATCTTAAAGTTTAAAATGTATCTATTGGAATATAATATTTTGACTCTCGTGTAAGTTGTTTGCAAAAGTTTCTTTATATGTTCTTTAAACCTAAGATGCGTGTCAATATATAGTCCCAAGTTCCTAGCGGAAGCTGAGTAGCGTAGATTTTCATTAGCTAATCTTAGTGTTATGCTTCGCTGTAAAGTTGCTCTTTTCTTCTCTGAACAAAACAAAAGAACTTCAGTTTTATTGGCATTTATTTTCAAATTGTGTTCAGTAGAATATTTTAAAATAGACTCCAAATCTAGGTTCAATAGAAGAGAAGCCGTATCAGAATTTACTGGATCAAAATAATGGAGAAGCTGCGTGTCATCGGCGTATGATTGTACGTGGGAATTAGAGACACTATCAAAAATGTCGAAGGTATATATCAGAAATAGTAGTGGTCCTAGAATGGAGCCCTGTGGGACACCCGATATTATTCTGCCGGCGGATGACAAACCACCATTTAACCTTACTCTCTGCGTTCTATCAGCAAGATACTCTCCAAGGAAAGTTTGAGACAGCTCGTCAAAACCCAAATAATGCAACTTAGCACACAGAAGATCATGGTCCAATACGTCGAACGCCTTGGAGTAATCCAAAGAAACGGACAGAACAGCCATACCCCTATCAAGAGCCCTGAAAATGTTATCTGTCAAGTTCAACATGGCTGTAGTTGTACTATGCATTTCACGAAATCCTGATTGATGAACTGGATAAAGTTTATTTCTTAAAAGAAAGTTGTTAATCTGAGCATACACTGCTCTCTCCAGTACCTTGGACATGACAGGCAACAAACTTATGGGCCGCAGATCGGTAACACTACCAGGGTATTTCACTTTCGGTATTGGGCAAACAATAGACTCCTTCCAGCATTTGGGGAAATACCCTGTTTCCAGGCAACAATTAATAATATGAGTAAGAGGATACAAGGTCGCAGGCAAACTGAGTTTCAACATGTGTAGAGTGAGATCATCACAACCTGCAGCATTAGATTTTATTTTGTATATATACCTAAGAATTGCTTCGGGAGACTCCATGGAGAAACCAAAATTTAATCCCACTCGGTACTTATTGTTCCTATAGAATGTGGTTTTATTAATACAAGTATTAGTTTTGTTAAATACGCTCAAGAAATATGTGTTCACATCTTCTGGACTATGCAATGAAGTAGAAAGATCATTAAAATTGCTTGACCCAGAGGAAACGCCCATATCTCTTAGACCCTTCCAAAGGATCCGTGCATCCCCTCGGCGCTCTAAATATTCCAAGTAACCAGACTTTTCCCTACGAACTGACCTCAGAGTGAGGTTTCTAAGATTTCTGTAATTTTCCAAGTTCTCTGGTGTGTTGTTTTTCTTATAGTTCAAAAGAGCTTTATCACGTTCGCCCATTAATAGTTTTAAAGCTGGAGTTAGCCAAGGCGCGGGCGGCTTAGTTACACGAACTGTTCTTAAAGGAACATGCAGTTCGAATAAGGATTTTAATTGAAAAGTGAGAAAATCGACTTTTTCATCGATATCTGTCATATAGTAAATGCTGTGCCATGGTACATTATGCAAATCACTATAGAATAAGACCTCATGAAATTGCTTGTAGTCTCGAAATGTAACAAATTTTAGAGGATTTTCTTGTATAGGTAACTTCATATTACAATATGTTAGTCTATGATCGCTTATATGCTGAGCATCAAGGGTACCACCAGACGCCACAATACTAGAGTCACTGACAAAAATCGGGTCGAGCAGGGAAGATCGACTATTGGAAACTCTAGTAGGTTCATCTATAACTTGAACAAAACCAAATGTATCAAAGAAATCCGATATTGGGTTTGATATATTATTGGAACACAAAAGATCAATGTTTAAATCACCCAAAACTGTAATATAGGTACATGAAGACAACATGTCTGGTAGAAATTTATCTAGAGCTTGAACACAATTCAAAACATTCATCTTAGTTCTGTAAATGACGCCTAATCCAAGACATATCCTATGGTTAATTTTAATCTTTAACCAGATATTCTCAAACCCATCCACCTGATCCTGTAAGTAAAGTCTTTCACACTTGTATACATTTTTTACATATATCCCAACACCTCCACCTCTACCAGTCAAGCGATCGCAGCGATGGAACGTGTAACCCGGAACAACACAAGAGTCAGACGCAATATGAGCACCTAGCCATGTCTCTGTTGTTGCTACAACATCAAAATTATGTTGTGTCACAATATCTGAAAAGTAATGAAATCCTGCGAAAAGAGATCTTACATTCAAATGACCAAGCCTAAACATAATTTATCTTTGATTTAAGAAGGCCCACTTTGGATTTATAAAAATTACAAATACGATCACTGGCCGAATGATCCATATCCCAATTTGTTTTGTATTTTTCATTGTGGAATTTACAGTTAGGGCAACATTTATTTATATCTGTAGTACAATTCTTACTGATATGATCACCTGCACAAAATTGACAAACAGGTTTATTTCGACAGTTTTTACTTAAGTGGCCGAATCTACAACAATTGAAACAACGGACTATATTAAAATGTTCACATACTTGGCACTTTATCCATCCAATATAAACATATCCTTTGTTCATTAGCGAACAGTAAACAGATGGAGACACATTTAATATAACATTAAGAGAAAATTTCAATGTAAAGGTCTTAACCACTTTTATGTTGTTTTCATCTTCTTCAAGTTTATTATCGTAAATTAATGATTTTATAAAACTATCGATAAGTACATCGGACGCATTGCCGGTACTACCATCACTATTTAAGTAGCTAGAAGGAACACCCTTTATCATAATTGTTGGATTTATTTTCTTTTGATCATAAACTTGATATTTCTCACCAATTGTGTTTACAAGATTTTGTTTTAATATATTAAGGTCATCCTTATCTTTACAAGCAATTAAAAATCCGTTTTTTGTAACTTTCGTATTTTTAATTTCAATATTTACTGCGCCCGGAGAACATTTCGATTTTATATCATATTCAATTTTATTTGGAGACACATTACTATCGACAGATTTAATAATTAAATAGGGCGAATTATTTGTTTTCACTACATCACTATAAGAAATGGTTGGAATGTTCGAATGTTTTTGTTCCATTCTTGTTATCATACCTTCGCCGTCGGCCAAGGTCCCGTACTTAGATTCCATATCTCCCATTCTTTTCTTTAACACTTGGATCGTATACTCTCTCTCGGCAGCTATCGTATTAATTAATTCTTTTTCTCTTGATAAGCAGTCAATTTCCTTACGCAAAATTGTACACTCGTTAGAATTATTTTCTACAGTAGTAGAACCTAGTCTTGTTCTTCGAGGCCCCTCACAGCACACACGACAACGCCAATTTTTCGAATCCACCTAAACCATTTCGAGACGTTTTCAAAACATTTTCTATGAACGAAAACACTA